CTGATTTGCACCCCCGCGGTCGCTCGCCAAGGGCCTCGCGGGCTTCGCGGCGGCCGCCAGCTGTTAGACGCGCTCCAGACCTGAACCGAGTGGCACGCGGAAGGCTTCGGAGAGGGAACCACTGTGTAAGGTGAGAGAGTGAGGGACTTGTTTGAACTGATTAAAAAGAAAGGATTAAGAGGCAAACGCTGCTTTAGTTATTAAACCGTTGCAAGCTGTGCACTAGCGCCCCCTAGAGTAAGACGTAAGGTAGCTTCGCTTAACCTAAGATTGTGCGGGACCCCTCTTAGTTGACACTTGGTCCATTTGTTGTTCTTTCTTCGGGCATTCTTCGGCTGGGTGACTTGAGCTTCTGCACGAACTGCATGGGTTTTTGATTGTTTTGACATACAACGTGTGTTTAGTTCCTTCTGCGCTTGTGACGTGGAGTACTTCTGGGCACGGCGGGGCATCCTTTGGAATGTTCATGTAGAGGGTTCTTTTCCAGGTTTTTACATGCCTGAGATCATCATGGATGGTGTTGACGCTGAGCCTTGTCGGCGTTGAGACTGGTTTGCCGTATGGTTTGAGTAAATTTAGAAGGGCATCGTCGGGCATTTCTGGTGGGCAGTTGGAGATGAAAATTTGGGTCGCATCGGAGACGTACTTACGACACGGCAAAAACGTGTCGTTGATGTAGACACCTCCGTGCTCGCAGATTGTAGTGACGGCTGATTCGCAGGTGAAGTAGAGGCAAAATCGCCCCCCGCTGAGTCTTGAGACATAATGAATGTTCTTGCCGCCGACGACATCGGCTGCAGCACGTAGCAATTGGTCTTGGTTGAAGTCTTGAGTTTTCTCTAAAACCACTGATAGCTTTCTTGATGGGATGTTGTTGGGCACTGGAGTTGTTGATTTGAGGTTAAAGTCTTGGTCGGTTTGGTATAAATTTTCACTAAAATTGGTCACTGAGATAGAGAGGGGTTGAAGCACACTTGAATATAGAGGTCGATTTTGACACAACATTTTTCTTGGCTATTTCCTGACTTAGTTTGATGGAATAGTGGTAGTTTGAGGTTAGGACCTGGGCGGCCCCAACAATTTTCTTCCTGGTAGATTGTCCGTGACGTTTCCACTTGAAGTAATTAGCTCCACTGGTGTCGCACTGTTTGTTCTACTCACTTAAGAAGGTTTTTGATCGTTTTTCCACTTTTTTCACTGGTAATTTGTATTAATATTGGGACGGCTAGTACGGGTGCGCTTTCGCGGGCTTTCTCGAGAGAGAGAGAGAGAGAGAGAGAGAGAGAGAGAGAGAGAGAGAGAGAGAGAGAGAGGCACTGTGCGTCTCCTCGGCTCTCAATAGCGAGCCGCTTTCCTGTGCAAGTCGCAACATGCGCGCGACCAATAGGCTACCCGGGGCCATCGGCGCGGGGCTGTTTTTATTTGCACAGCCGCCCCCCCCC